GGTTTGCTACAGCTTCCGAGTCAATAGGAGTTGTATCTTTGGCGACTTTACGCACAGGCCTGTTACCACTATACGGGACGTTTCCGCAACTGATGAAGATGTGGTCATCGACCCATCCGAGCCCGAGGATGAGGCCTACGAGGACCAAGGGGATGAACGCGCAAATGGGCGCAAGCGTAAGAAAAGGACGCGTCCGCGTGTAAAAGGACGCACGCAGGACGGGCGCACGGTACGCGCACCGGCAATACGCGTAAGCTGGGTGACGAGGCGAGCCGGGCTAAGGCGCGAGAAGAAGGACCGCGCACGAGGTGGATCGACGGTGAGGTTCACGCGAGAGGGCGGACGCCGAGTGCACAATGACGGGGTCAGACGACGCGATCGACTGGTGCAAGGCGTGCGCGAGGGAAAGAAGCTCAAGACGCCTGGAGGCTAGGCGGCGACGCATGAGCATGCGAGCGACGTGTACGCAGAGGAAGAACCAGGCGGTGCGCGAGGTGTGGATGTTAGGTGGTTAGCGTGCACAGCGTACGACAAAGGACGAGCGGCGCATGGCGCGAAGCACGAGCACGGACAGGGCGCGAAATGTGGCAACACGCGCGGGGCGACGAGCGATTGTGGAAAGGGTGTTGTGGGAATGGGCGTGCCGGCCACTCGCGAGATGGGCAAGGACGCGCGAGGGATGGGACGTAAGCGCGCAGCACGCAGGACGGGGCACGCGTGGGGCACAGGCGCGCGCATTGGCGCGGAGAAGGACGAAGCCGCGGAGGACGAGGAATAGCGTGACATCGCGCGACACGGGCGGCTAGGGTTATGGGCGAAGTGTGGCGCAAGAAAAGAGATTTAGAAACAAGATTTACTTAGCTTAATTAGGACTCTAGTTTGGTTAGGAGATCTTTTTTTTTTTTAGTTTGGTTAGGAGATCTTGAATAAAGGCATGTGTCTATTAGTATTTAATTATTTAGGTAATTTTTAGATATTAGGATATTTAGCTTCCTTAGGAGTTTATTCTTTTTCATAATTTAGAATTCTAGTTGGAGTAGTATTTTAGATTTATTTAGGATCTATTAATACTTGTCTCCTCTTATTATTTTTAATGTCCAAGAAGTTAATAGAAAACCGAACGTTTGTTCAATTGTCTCGTGTGTTTATTCCTGTGAGTTTACATACTAGATCGTGTTAGAAATAGGACCAACATCCAAGTTTCGGCACATTATCGCAAAGTACGAAGGCGTCGGCGCACGTATTAGCAACCTATCGCTTAGAGACCAAGGCGTCGGCGCGGGTTTCAAGGCAAATCGAGTTGAGCATATACACGATCTTCATCATTGGTGCTTTCATTGAGAGTGATTGATCGTGTATCTTATTCATCTTTTCCTTCCTCTTTCGAATTTTCCTTTCTTTCGAATTTTTCTTTTTTTTTCATGAGATTCAAAAAAAAAATGACACACACAGAGAGATCGAGGCATTAGAAGAAAACATGAAGTCCATAGGAGATGGCCAACACACTACCAATGAAAACGTGGCAAAGATCGAGCTCATGGTGCACGACATAGTCGAGCGACTCGCACGGGCCACACGCCATCCGCGGAGGAATCACAAGTCAAGGTCGACCACGGCTCGATCGAGAAACTCCGAGGCCGACCACGAGGACTACGACCGGCGCTCGAGGAGAACGCGCGCATCACGACCGCGCAAGGACCACAAGTACGAACGGTCGAGGCTCACTATGCCGACTTTCACGGGAGCCGATGTGGACGCATGGCAAAGTCGAGCCACGCAATATTTCGACAACAATGACATGCCGAGAGCCGAGAGGGTCAAATTGGCGGCATACTACCTAGACGGCGAGGCCAACACATCATGTGGCGATGGGTGTCACATGTATACAAAAACAAAGGCGATCACATCCGATGGAGGGATCTTTAGAAGGAGCTCATCACACGATTCGGGTCTACTGATTATTACGACTATGATGAGGCGCTCTCTCGCATACGCCAAAGCGGTAGTCTTCGTGATTACCAAAAGGAGTTTGAGCGCAACGCAAGTCGCTTGCGCGATTGGCCCGAGAACGCATTGGTGGGCGCATTCATTGGAGGGCTTAAGGCCGAGGTACGTTTGGATAGGCCACGATCTACACGAGAAGCTATGGAGTCTCCATGGTTGCACGATAATCACTTGGTTGCGGTGCGCAAAGCCAACCGAGGCGAGGACGGATGGAGCCGCGACGCGCAAGCACGGCGGTAGACGAGCCGCTACCACGGGCCGAGATCAAGCCGACCGATGACAATAGCCGCATGATGAGCCATATACGGCGACTCACTACCGAGGAAATCCAACAAAGGCGCGAGAAAGGGTTATGCTTTACGTGCAACGAGCGATTCACGCTGGGGCATCGATATGCGGGTAATCAAGTCTATTTGCTTGAATTTGAGTCCGATGAAGAACATGGCCGAGATGTATACGAGCACAAGGAGCGAGAGGAGACATTGCTACACGTGATAAAAAGCAAGCGAGGTCCGAAGATGATATGATTCACAGCGGTCATACAAGATGAGGAAGTCGACGTGCTAGTCGGTAGCGGGTCAACCTTGAATTTCATAGACGAGAAATTGACCAAAGGGCTAGAAATACCTATGACTAGTGTGGTGCCATTCGGAGTGAAGGTTGCGAACGGCGAAGAACTCAAAAGCTCCATGTTCAAGAAAGTTCCGATGCGCGTACAAGGTGAGGACTTAAAGATCGAACTCTATGCATTACCATTGACAGGACCGGACGTGGTACTAGGAGTTCAATGGCTCGAGACATTAGGGCCCGTGACCACGAATTACAAGAAGGGACGATGGAGTTTGGGCGAGCCAAAAAGCGAATCAAGTTGCAAACCGAAGACACGGGAGCTGAGCCGGAGGAAGCCGAAGATCTTGAGTTCATTATCCTTGAGGACAAGGAAGTTCTCGAAGAGGGCGAGAATGATGATGTGGTCATCGACCCATCCGAGCCCAAGGACGAGGCCTACGAGCACAGAGGGCATGAACGCGCAAATGGGCGCAAGTGTGGGAAAAGAACGCGTATGCGCGTAAAATGGCGCACGCAGGACAGGCGCACGGTACGCGCACCGGCAATACCGTAAGCCGGGTGACGAGGCGCGTCGGGCTGGGGCGCGAGAAGGACCGCGCACGAGGTGGATCAACAGGAGGTTCACGCGAGAGGGCTGACGCCGAGTGCACAATGACGGAGTCGGGCGACGCGGTCGACTGGTGCAAGGCGTGCGCGAGGGAAAGACGCGCACGACGCGTGGAGCTAGGGCGGCGACGCATGAGCACGGGAGCGGAGTGTATGCAGAGGAAGAACCGGGCGGTGCACGAGGGGTGGATGTTGGGTGGTTAGCGTGCACAGCGGACGACCAAGGACGAGCGGCGCATGGCGCGAAGCACGAGCAAGGGCAGGCCGCGAAAGGTGGCAACACGCGCAGGGCGACAAGCGATTGCGGAAAGGGTGCCGAGGGAATGGGTGTGCCGGCCACTCGCGCGATGGGCAAGGACACAGGCACGCAGCGCGCACGACAGGGGACGCGTGGGGCACAAGCGCGCGCATTGGCGCGGAGAAGGCCGAAGCCGCAGACGACGAGGAATAGCGCGACATCGCGCGACACGGGCGGCTAGGGTTACGGGCGAAGTGTGGCACAAGAAAAAGTGATTTGGAAGCAAGATTTACTTAGCTTAATTAGGACTCTAGTTTGTTTAGGAGATCTTGAATAAAGGCATGTGCCTATTAGTATTTAATTATTTAGGTAATTCTTAGATATTAAGATATTTAGTTTCCTCAGAAGTTTATTCTCTTTCATGATTTAGAATTCTAGTTGGAGTAGTATTAGATTTATTTAAGATCTATAAATACTTGTATTCTCTTATTATTTTTGATGTCCGAGAAGTTAATAGAAAATCGAACGTTTGTTCAATTGTCTCGTGTGTTTATTCCTGTGAGTTTACATGCTAGATCGTGTTAGAAATAGGACCAACATCCGAGTTTTGGCACATTATTGCGAAGTACGAAGGCGTCGGCGCGCGTATTAGCAACCAATCGCATAGAGACCAAGGCGTCGGCGCAGATTTCAAGGCAAATTGAGTTGAGCGGATACACGACCTTCATCAGCAACCCTCGCCTCGGCTCATTCTCTTCCCGCATCTATTTTTTGTGTTTGCTATTTTATGTTTTAGTTCTACGAACTGAAAACACAATATTCAATTCTTAGGTTACCCGTGTAATTTCGAAACACTGTTTATAACACACCACATGCAATAAGAAATTATCTTATTATGATTATATCTTTCTTTCTATTTCGCACTAACATCTTAAGTTCAGTAACATATAGAAATCAACAAAAATCCTAAACTGGTTCACCCAAAACGCAAGACGAACTCTAGTGTTATCCCTCAGCTTACATTACATGATAAATGTAAATGCAAATGCAAATGCAAATGCAAATTCGTAATTCTGTTAGACAAATGTTAGAGGTTTAAGTGATATAAAACTAATTAGAGAAGTGAAAATCACCCACCCAGTCAGTTTTGATATGAAAACATGACATAACTTATCATGCCTTATCACCTTATATATACTAATTCAAAATATGCCTAGCCTAAGCTTCGCATGCTTTGTATTGGTACAATACCACGCTTTAAAGTGACATCCAATCAGCCATATATGCAACCAATAAATAAGCCATGCAACCTGGGATCAACCTGGGATATTGTCATAAAACATTAATATATTTCCATATTTTCTTCTGAATCACTATTAATTGAAACAAACTTTCTATTTTCTTTTCAAACACCACAATACAAAATTATTCCTTTTCCTTATGACTTCACCACACATTATACAAGTTTAATTACACAATTGTATAGTAGATGGTAAACGATTCCGATGATGTTCCTCATATTGCACTATTACGAAGGGGCATAGAAATTTGATTCATTTTGAGTACCAGGTAGAGTTCATACCTTGATTCTTTCATATTCTCTAACTGCAGTATTTTTAGCATCCTCGGTTACTTTAACAGTTTCTCGCAGCTCTTCTATTTTTCGAATCCTCGATCTATCACCACCAAATATCTTCGACGAAGCAGCTTCTAGCTTCTCTATTCTTGAATGTAATGATGATAAATCAGATAAAAGAGTTTGTACGGTCAAAAAAGCACTTGATCGGTCCGAAAATGCATTATTCACAGCAAGCATCACACCAAGATAGTCATGAAGCTTGTCCTGCATAAAGTTGCCAGAAATGAAAACTTAGCATTAAGACAACCAAAATGGTAATGACAAAAATAACAACCCTATGATTCTACCTTTATAAAAAATCATCATTAAATTACATGCACCTTAGGCCCTCAATTTTGTTTTACAAAGCCACAAGCAAAAGTACGAAAAATATAAGCAAAACATGGTTGCCCTGAAATAAACCACCAGCACAAATTGTAAACGTAAAAGGAAAGTCCGGACGCATATAAGATCGTATGACGGCAACAGTCGAAATCAATTTATTGAAATACGGGGGTCAATAATGAAATGTCTATTAACTTACCAAATGTTTGACAGTTCGAGCATTTAATTCACGATATAATCTGCTTGCTTTTACAGAAGCAGTGGCCACATTTTTCATGTCCAAAGCACGCGCTCTTTGGGAATTATAAATTGCTTCCTCTGTTTCAAATTTGGTTAATTTGACAAATGCTAGGCCCAGTTGACCCATTGTTTCCCCGATATCTTGCTGGGCTTTGACAAGTGATTCAGCCTGAAAATGAGAAAGGGCATAAATGATAAGCAATCACAGTTTCCTTAACAAGACCTTTAACCGAAAATCTTGTAAATGAAGATTACAATGTGTCGTATATTACAAATTTATCTCGTAAGCTCAATATAGTAAGTCATCCAGATAAAATTCTGAAATCACCCACTTGAGTAAAACCAATGAATCAAGCCAACCAAATCCAAGGCTTACCATGGAGAAATATAGTAACTGTCTTAATTAAGGAATAATTCCTAGAGTTTCAAGAATCATTTTGGAAATCAAATTTCTAATGTATATGGCCATTGCCATCCTGGTTTCACAATTTCATGCGGAAGTAATAATATTTTACGTACAGTCATGTCTTCTGTTGAGGTGTTTGATGTTAAAAATGCTTTGATTTTTGAAGATGGGCAAAGGATAGGAAGTGCAAGCTATTCCAAACCTAGATGCATGTATCATCAACTATTGTCTTCCTTTGCTCTTCGCCCATAAATTTACCAGCGACTGAACATATAGAATTATAGAAAAGGTCATTGATTTGATTACTTCAGCATTAGCAATCCAAAGAAACTAAATTACTAAAATATTAAGCAGTTTTTTTTACCATAATGACCTTTCCACAAATTTTACATGATGTCTGGAAAATCACACTTAAGCATCCCAACCAGCAAACACATCAGGCCTTCATAATCCATCTGATGAATATGCATGCAGTCACCCAAAATGTCACCATCAATCAATGCAAGTCCATGGATCCAGAATTTTCATAATATGAATGAGGTTCTATAAATATGCAACAAAAAAACAAGGGACACTTGCAGACATAGTGTTATAATACATCACACCAAGATTCAATTTATAACAGACTAAGCAAGATTATTAACCTGCTGAGAAACATTCACCAACTGCTGCTCGAAATCCTGCAATTTTTCTTTCCTATCCAAAAACTCTTTATCAATATCGACAATCGGTGGCTTTGCCCCAACCCAATCATTCGACACCGACTGCTTCAACTCCTTAAACATCCTCAAGAAATCCCTCCCACCCCTTGCAGGCTGCACTGCCTCACTTGTTTCAGCCAACCCACTATCGAACATCCTTGACGACACGTCAGTCGTCCTTGCCAGCGACATTTTCCCAGAAGTTTCTAGAAACAGCCGCAGTTCCTCGCTCATCCTTATTACAGGGTGTGCGGCAAGACGCTTCAGATATTTCTCCAATGCCGCACGCCTTTGCTCGACAAATTCGTTAGTCTGCATCACCTGGCTCTCCACCACACCCTTATCCGGCCTCAATGGAATAAAAAACCCACGAAAGTTCTCTGCTAATCTATCAGCAAGGGCAACTACATCTCGAAATCGCCTTCTGACGTTAAATTCAGTGCCGCTAAATTCTGGCATGTTTGTGAAGGTTGTAATCAAGTATGAAACGTATGTATTTCCTCCCGGGACGAGTGAACTAGATAGCTCCTGCTCCCTCTGTGGATCTGAAACTGAGATTTTGAGGTAATATGATGAAAACGACGGCGATGCCAATGGGGAGAGATCTTGGCCGTTAATATCAGCAGAATCAATTGAATCCAAATCGAAGGATTTGAAAACTGCTTCTGCATAAGAGGGGGGCTCGAGGAAAGAATTGATTGAGCTGTGGCTAGGGTTTGGGTTTTGTTTCGATGGGGGCGAGCACGGATGATCAGCATCGTCAGTGGGGATCTCGACGAACTGTGAAGATGAAGTGAGCGGGTCATCGATAAACGATTTCGAGCCGTTGGAGGGTAGCGAAGGATGATCATTGGCGAGGATGATCGATGACATTTGCTCTTTCGGCGCGTGGAGAGGCGCTTCTTCATATCCTTGGTTTTCGTAGCCCATCATTTTTTTTTTT